GGGGAATCATCGCACCCGTCCGGCCCGGCCGGGAGCCACCAGCGCCCCTGCCGGCCGTGCCCGGAACTGCAGCCCAGCGGTGCAGGCTCGGCAGGGACACAAGGCTGGCTTTGCCTTTCTGCTTTTGGTTGTTGCTGTTGTTTGCTGCCCTTGATGTATACAGATATAGTCTAGGAAATTCCTATTGTTCCCTTTCCCCTAGCTTTGCATGAAAGCCACATCATTTCAAAATTAAAATAATATGGAGAGAAGAGGGTCATATTCTCCATTCCAGGGTGGTCTCCGCCTTCCTTGGCAGACACCTGTCTCTTAAACCAGGTCCCTCAGTGCTGGTCACTTTTGATAGAAAACCCCCCAAAGGACCAGGCAGTCATGAGTCACTGCCACTACTGACTCAGGAGGGAAGGTCCAGCACCCAACCCTAAATTTCCTTTCACAGCACATTAACCAATGGACTTAGTTAAGGAGAGGCAGTTAATTTGCGCTTTTTGGATTTCAGTAAAGCTTTCAATCCTGCTTCTCCCAGGACCCTGGTGTGTCCCTCCCAACTCAGGCCATTCCATCATTCCATGATTCTCACCCTAACAGACCTGGTCCTTTTACTGGATACCTGTGTAAAGAGCAAAATGTGATGTCATGATCTGTCTACAAAGATGTTAACCCAGTTGAATGTTGTCACCATAAGGTACCTCCTTTGTTAAATACCTTATGCCCGATGTTGTTGTGACAGCCTTCTTTGTTAAATGCCACCTTACCTTGTCTTGCCTCTGCTGCTCCTGGCACCCCCTAATGGCAACTGATGACACCAGCCAGTATGTAAATGACCGAACTCCCATGGGGGTTTGCACCCAGGGGAAGTGGAATTAACATCTAAAGACCCCCAGAGCCATGGCTCAAACTGAACTTTAAATGACGGGAATGTTGAGCCACTTATGGATGTTCCGGACCTCACCACCATAAGTAAACCAACACTCTCTATGCATGGCTACCCTAGGTTTTCAACGAGCCAGTGTCTTCCCAGGGACTCTTGTGAGGATGGAAGCCCCAGCTGTGCCATGTGGCAAAGCTGAGCACCTCCTCCTCTGTGTCATCCATCCTGAGCAGTGGTGGTGTGCGCACCCCCTCGGGTCTACAGCTAGAGCTGACCTCAATAAAGGCATTAAAAAGGAGCCGGTCTCCTTGCCTGTTCTTTTCACCTGCCTTTCAGCCTTTGGGGTTTTTGACACCGTCACACAATCCTGAAAACTCTCCCAGTCTCCGTTCACTTGGATACTCTAGCGATTTATTCAGTGCAAAAAATTCTTCTGACCATTCAGCTTCTGTCCCACCAAGGCCACAACTCCCTTACCAACACAGGTATTGATCTCAGGGGCTTGGACTCGGGGGTAGATCCAAGGGCCCCTGCAGCCTTCCAGAGCCTTCAGGGGCAGCTTTCCCTGGGGAGTTCCTGCCGATTTGGGCAATCTGTGCAAGGCCTGTGGGCTCTGATTCCCCTCACCCACCTCTCAGCAGATGCTCTCGTTTCTCCCAGCCTTGGCTTCCCAGCAGACACCGGCAGCCGAGGGCCCCAGCTCAGGGGACACAGCACAGCACAGCGGCAGGCCTGGGGCACATGGTGGGGTGTGGAGAAGGTGATGGGAAGCCCTGGAGAACTCAGGAGGAATCAGGAAGGAAAGGCCTGAAATCCTAGAGGAGAAGAGCAGACAGTCAGGAGAAGGCAAGCCATGAGCACACAGGATTCATTCCAGGGAGCACTGGAGGCCAACCCTTCTCCTCCACTGGACACTGCCCAGGCAGCAAAGACTCCTCAGGGCTCTTGTGGGGAGGTGAGCAGAGCAGGCTTTCACCTGGGACCTACATCCATGCTCCCCCACCAGAAGGAAGCTGGAGCAAAGCCCCTGAAGCTCAACAAGGCCAAGTGCAGGTGCTGCCCCTGGGTGCAGGCAATTCCAGGCACAGACACGAGCTGGGAAGAGAATGGATTGAGAGCAGCCCTGAGGAGAAGGACTGGTGGGCGCTGCTGGGTGAGAGGCTGTCCAGGGAACATCTGTGCTCTCAGGCAGCACACAAGCTGTGGAGGGGGCAGAGCCAGGGGAACAGCACTGACAGTGGGGCAGCACGGGCCCTGTCCCACCACTGCCCACATCACGCACCTGCTGCTGGGGGGAAGCTCAGGACCCCGGAGAGGGGGGAGAAGCAGCGCTGGGCTTGGGTCCCACCAAGCACTGAGCCCCCAGCAGGAGCCCGTGCACTCCCACCAGCAGGATGGGGACACGATGGGGAAGGCAGAAGCAGGAAAAGCCTCTGGCTCCAGATAAGGGCAGTTCAGCAGCAGAGGAAAGAGGAAAGCTGTGCAGGCAAAGCACAGGAGAAACTTTAGACACCAATTGTTTGCTTTGGGCACATGTCCAGCTGCTCCCTGCGCAGCAGAGCCTCAGTGCAGGACAGTTGCTCAGGAAGGGAGCTGATGCCTCAGGGTCACTGCTGCAGCTCGTCCACTCAGGCCACTTGTCCCAGCCCTGTCCCCTCCCAAATTCTCTCCCACCAGAGCGATGACAGCGCTGGTTCAGTCTCAGGAGCCAGAGGCTGCCCTGTACAACAATAACTCCAGCCCTGAAGCCACCCCCAGGCACCCTTGGCAGTCCCTGCACGGTTTACCCATTGCTGCAGGAATAGGAAAAAGGCCCATGCGACTGTGTCCGTGCCCACAGAGAGGCACTGAGCACATTCAGGACAGAACTCGGGATCGAGCTCCTCCTTGGAAGCAAACGAGGGAAGCAGCAAGGCTGGCAGCAGGAGCGGCCATGGGAATGCGTGCAGCCGTTTCACAGCACAGCCCCCGAGAGTGTTTTCCCCAGCCGTGTCCCAGGGAAAGAAAGGGGCTCTGGGAACAGCGCTCCCTTGGTGGGGCTGGCCCAGAGCCCAGAGCGCTCTGCGCGGTGACGCTCCGACTGGAAGAGAGGAGAATGCCACCCGGCCTGCATGGGGAGCAAAAGGAAGAACTGAGCCCCTGCGCTTGGGGACAGGGCAGGAGGAGCCGTGCCTGCCGCTCATCCCCACGGAGCTGCCCAGCGGCCGAAGGAGCGGCTCGGGGCCAGCACTGCCCCCGGCATCAGTGCCACGGCTCCTGCCCTCCGGGGGGCACAGCAGCCATCCGGCGCCACCTCTGAGCCCGGCCCCCTCGCAGCTCAGCCCCGCAGCGCACACGGCTCCCCCGAGCCCCCCAAAGCGGCTGCAGCAGCGGCGGCTTCCTGCAGCCCCCGGAGGAGCGGACACCGCCCGCCCGCTGCCCTCCCAGCGCTCTTCCCCTGCCCTGCCATCTCCCCGGCCGTGCCAAAACACCGCAACAGGAGCCACGAGAGCAACAAGATCCCGCTCCCCGCTGCTCCCGGCCGCACAGCTCCTCCCCAGGGCCCTACCTTCTCTCCTTCTCCCTCCGAAGATCCCGCTCCCCGCTGCTCCCGGCCGCACAGCTCCTCCCCAGGGCCCTACCTTCTCTCCTTCTCCCTCCGAGCCCCGCAGCTCCCGGGAAGCCAGAAGCCGATCCCAGCCCCACTTTAAGCAGCCCCGGCTCTCCGGTGGGTGCGGCTTCCTCTTCTGGAGTCAGTGGGGCAATTCCAGGAAATCAGGCTTCTGACAAGTGTGAAAACGAAACCACTCTTTTGGAGTCCGATTATTTGAGTTCGAGCTCGATTTCCGCACCAGCCGTGGTTTGAGCTGCTTCTCAGAGAACTCTCAGCTCTTTGCACAGACCTTTTGACTGCTGTGCTGGTACCTGGAGGGCAGGTGAGGCTCTCAGCCCTTCCTGGGGCTGGTGCTCCATCAGGAAAAGGAGCAGGGGGAGCACAGCACCACTTTCAGGGATGAATTTTTGCAGAAATTCATCCTCCATAACTTTCTTTACTATTACATCATGTATTAGTTTGCTTCAGCAGTGATAAAAGTGCAGTGACTGTGGTGGTGCGTTCCCCCACTTCCCTCCTTTCCAGGCTGCAGTGTGAGCTCAGAAAATGCCTCTTAGCCCCTGGAAACAGCACCTAGGCTCAGCTCTTCCTGAGCTTGTCAGAAACACTCTCTGCTCCCAGGGGCTCCTAACAAGCTCCTGCTTTTCTTAGGACCCGCCTTGGAAATATTCCTCTGGCCTGAATGGCAAAGCATCCCTGTTCTCACCCTTTCAGAGAAAATGCCGACCCAGACTCTGGCCAGGTGAAACACTCTCATGCCTGAAGCCCGCTCTCTTGCAGTCCAAAATGAGACCCTTCTGAGCTGTCCCAAAACCACGGTGGGCTGTGACCAGCCTGCTCCCAGCCCCACAGCTCATCCCCATGGCCCCTCCTTCTCCCTCCATGCCCCACAGCTCCCAGGCTGGGAGAAGTCCAGCATAGCCCCCCCAGCCCCAGCTCTTTCAGAGGGAGATGCTTCCTCTTTTCGGGGGGCTGTGGGGCAGCAACTGGTGTTTTCCTCTAAGTCATGTGTTTTCCTGCAGCAGTGTGAAAGTGAAGCTGCTGCTGCCTGGTTTGGGCTGAAAAAGCTTTTTTGTGAGAGGTGGAACTTGAGGATGTTTGAGGTCTTTTCCAACCTTAATGATTCTATGCTTGCATGAAAGGCAGCAGGAGCTGGGCAGAGCCTGGGGCTCCTGCCTGGAGACCACCAGCCCTGCTCCCCTTAGCCTGGATCATGCAATCCCAGAACTGGACATCCTGTGCCAAGGCCTGCCCACCCTCCTAGGGAACAATTCTTTCCCAGTATCCCATCCAGCCCTGCCCTCTGGCTGTGGGAAGCCTTTCTCTGTGTCCTGTCCCTCCAGCCCTCGTTCCCAGTCCCTCTCCAGCACTCCTGGAACCCCTTCAGGCCCTGGAAGGGGCTCTCAGGTTTCCCTGGCTCCTTCTCCAGGTGAACACTCCCAGCTCTGAGGAGAGGAAGGATGGGAGGAGATGCCTGTTGGTGCCATCACATCAGCTCTGTGCTCTGAACAACCCAGGGACCCCAGAGACAACCTCAGGAGCCCTCAGCCCCTGAGCTCGTGCAGGCCGGGGAGATTCCCCGGGCTGGAGCAAGGCCAGAAGAAGGAAGATGAGAAACAGGGACCCTCAGCACAGCTCCTGCAGCCAGAGCCATCCTGGCAAACCCACAGAGGATCCATTAATAATACCCAGGGGACAAGAAGGTCAAGTCCCTGGGCTCAGGGGAATAGACTGTGAGAAATCAGGAACGGGGCTGTGGCTGAGCTCATCCCTAATGGGCTGCAGCTGTGTAAGACAGGGGACCATCGCTAAAGGAAAAGGAGCACAGAATGCTGAGGGGCACTGACCAGTAACAAAAGGGTGAAAGGGCACACAGGTGTTATGCAAAAGGAAAAGGTTATAAAAGGTTATGCCAGGGAACAATAGAGTGCTGATGCTTGAAACCATTTGTGGTGTTAGTCGTGTGTCCTCTGTCAAGTGGTGATCCTGTGGTGATTCGGGCAGGGAACTGAAGACCAGAGAGCTGCCGGCGCGGGAGCCCAGTCTAGCAAAGCAGGCAGAAAGCAAGAGCCTGAACATCTGGACAACTTATGAAAATAGAGATGCTGGTGGCTAGGGGAGCAACTGGGAAGCGTAATGATGGGGGCTGAAACAGCAGCAGAAGAGGAATCTGTTTTGGGCATTCTGCTGTGAATTTTACAGAGAAAGGTGTTAAGTGTGAGGAGCGGGCAGTACGTGCCTTGCTCCTGTGGTGTAAAAAGGATATTGTGAGAGTGAGCACATGGACTGTCTTTTTTGTTGGAACATGGGAGGAAGCAGCAGGGCACGTGTTGTGGTAGGCAGAGACGACAGGAGATGAAATAGCTACAGGGTCGCTTACGACGTGCCGGTTACTTTGGGACTCTTTGCTACGAGTACGAACTGGCAGAGAAGCAGAAGTCGCCGTCACCACTTCCCCAGTGCGGGCCGTGGCTTCTGCTCCAGCAGCCGACCCTCCCACTGCGGCCATGTCCCCTTTGTCTCCTCCTCCCTCTGTGACTGCTCCTTCTGTGAAGGGGCCTATCCTGCCAGTATCACCTGAGGCTTGCCTTTTTCTTCCGAACGTTGGTGATGAAATTCCACTGTCTCAGGAAGCCGCACTGACCTGGCCATGGCAGAGCCACTGTGACCCCCTCTTTTTACTCTGTCGTAGTTTTAAAACAGTAACTAAAATAATTACTTTTTTCTTGCTCTGAGATATGGATTAGAGCAAGAGCAAAACTGGCTTAAAACTTAAAAAGGAATAAAGTTTATTAACAAACTACAAGAATAAGATCACCTGAATAAACTTCCAGAAAACCCTTTTTATCCCCTACTACCCACCATTCCATTGTTCACATGACAACATAGAGACAAAAACTTTAGAACTTTGATGTTTAAAACAGTCCCAATTCCTGCTAGAGTCTTTTCATCAGTCTTTGTAGAGAAACAGAAGTCTTCTTCTGCTAGTCTATGGAGTTTTCCACAAGAAAGCTATTTCTGTTATACCTTTCTATTTTTCTGATGCCAGCTATCCAGAAATCTTGTCATCAGTTCACTCCTCCCATTTCACATCACTCTGAGGTGTGTATGGGCCATGAGTCTAGGGATGTCATTTTAAGGATGAGTTATTCAAAGGCAAAAGTCTTCTTCGTCTGTCTCTGTGAGTGTCTCTGTGAGCTTTCCTGGAAACAGTTTTCTCATTGGCTCTCAAGGCCTCAAATCTTCAACTATTACTCTATCTCACTCTGTTCCAGCACTGTATCACAATTACTCCACCTTTTGCTCAAAATGCAAACTTTGAACACTCCATTCCTCCCTATATACTCTGTCATGAATTAAAGGCGTTTTTTCAAGACCCTATTGTCCATCTCCATAGCTTTAACAGAAAAATATTTCAGCTTATAAAGCATCTCCTTATTCTCTACCTTTTCTGAAGCTTAATTCTTTTCTTTACTGTCTCTGATAGTTTATAAAGTCTCTTTAAATGTTAATTACTCTTTTTCTCTCTCTGGAAAAAAGGATTAATCTGCAAGTCTCATCTGGGTAATGAAAGGGTTAAAATCTTTCCCAGGCTTTCTAGATGGTTCTGTGATCTCTGCCGGAGCAGCAGCTGGAGTTGTCTGCAATGGAAGATTCTTCATGGCTGCTCTGGAGAGTGTGGTCACTGTCTCAGCCCGCCGCAGGTCAAGAGCTTTTTTCCCCTTTCTTCACTTGGCAGTCTCTGATGAACTTTGTCACGGCAAAAACTGCAGCCGAGCCAGGGAGCGGCCTGGCCCGGCCAGAGCCCGGAGCAAGCCTCGCAGGCCCTCATCTCCTGGCCGGGAGCCGCGGCAGGCCCAGCCCAGCCCCTGCCTGGGCCGCATGGGCTGGGCAGGGAACAGGAGGCCAGCCGGAGCTCTGTTACCTTTCACAGCCAGAAAACAAAAAGACCAAGAGTGCTCTGACTTTACATCTTATGGAGGTGTTTACAAGTTGACTTCACTTTTTAATGGTCAAAACTGCTGTCAATTCTTAGAAATGACTGATAATTGGTCAGGAGGAAAGACACATCAGCCACCAGCAGCTTCAACTTTCCTACCTCCCAAAACCTCCTTAAAGGTAAAGCTACCCCATGACACTTAAATAATTTCTTGAAGCTTGATTCTTACTTCTTAATTTCTCTGTTTCACAGCTTTACTTTTCTTTGAAATTCCCAGCTCAGTGCACTTTGCTTATTCGGTATGAAAGAGCGTGATTGAGGCTGTGGACTTTGCTAATTTGGCATGGAGGAGCTGTAAGCCAGCTGCCACAGTGACAAATCACCTTTTTGGTTATATTAAAAAAAATGTAAAAATGTTCTCTGTTACCTTTCCTGCAGGTGCCTTGCAGACAAGAACACAAAGATAGCATGAGTCTAATTTAAAAGAGGCTTTTCTACTCAATTGGACAAACCTAGCTCCTCCAGACTGTGGTGTGCTCCATGTATCACTGGAGCTGCAGCATTCAGGTCTAGGAGCTCTCAGGTAACACCACCAATATCACAATCCCTCAGGCTAGCGTGTCACAGCTTAATTGCTTGGAAGTTACAAGTTGCAACTTAACACTATAAACAATTCCACTCAAAACTATTTCAATTAAAAATAAACATATTTCTACCACTGATGTCTTCCAGATATTTGACTTCTGGAGTCTGAGTTGGGCAGACTGTCCCATCATCAATCTTCTGTTTCCAATCAGCTGTCTACCTTATAGATTATGCTGTGAATTGACTGAAAAACATGAGAATATAAGAGCACCCATGACATTTGGTGGGGGGGTACATCCACCCCATACCTTATTCCCCTTCCCTGTTTCAACAACCACAACAGGAACAAAACATGGACCTTGGAACAAAATTAACAAGGTGAAACTTACAACTGCCTAAATGCTTTACTGTCACCCAGTGTCTGCCATCGCTGAGGAGCCTCCTTTTCACACTGAGGACTTGAAAGACTTCTTCCGGACAAAGCCTCCTTGTTTACCTCAAAGGAAATAGGTTCAGCTTTTGCAAAGCCAAATCAGCTAGTCAGAGTGACTTGCTTTCATTTTTAGCCCAGGAACACCTGGGTTTGATAGGATATTTTCCCTTGCCAATTAAGGCCACAGCTTGGCCAGAACTAAGACCTAGACTGGGAAGGCTTCCCTATCATATCTTTAAAAGAAATCTTCCAGTATTAACTCACAGAGCAGCTGACTTTGTTATTGTGACTTTTCTCTAAAAAATCCTTTTTCTCTTTCTCTGATTCTGCTGCATTTCTTCTGTATTTTTCTTTCTCTTCTTGTTTTTCTCAGTCTCCTTTGGGCTGAATTCTTTTGG